TCACTTAACTATCGTGAAATAAATATTAATTCCACAAATTAATTAGAAGAGAATAGGAGATTAGCGTTTTTGATTGTTATGATTATAAGGGAAGATGGTATGTTGGGCGGAGATGCTTATAGGAAACGAGCATATGTAGGTTTTGTCTCTAATTCTCTTTATAGGGTTGGGATTTTGAAGTCAATGGTCATTAGGGGTCATTACTAGCGGATAGTAACCATTTGACTAGTTGGAACGGCTGAAAGACTTATTCCTAGAAATATTTTCTTTTGGGCTTAATTGATAATAATATATCTTCACTAAGGAATAAATTCTCAGACGGAGTCTATCTAGTCAGAGATAGGCAAGCCGAGACCCTTACTCATGTCCTAATCGCACAGTCATACCTTGTTTCTAATGCGATAGGTGACCTATTAAGGAATTAAGGTATAAAAACAGTGTTCAGGGATCTGTGACACTTTCTTCTTTTAGAGAGAAATATGACCCATTATCAAGATCCTTCTGTTACAAGATTGTGTGCTGTGTTCAACCTTATGTTTATCAGGCCTGTCGGCTTATCCTATAAAGAGTAATTGAGCACAAGAATGCTTGTGAAGCCAACTGGGTCGAACGGTCAAAAGTGGCTGAGCACATTGAAGAGACTGGACATTTGATAGAATGGTCTCAGACCAAATGTTTGCTGTTATGGTATATCTGCTACGAAGCGCAAGATATAATAGGCTATTTAAATTAATATATTAAGGGATACGTTATACGTGAGAAATGATGGTAGAAAGTTGTTTGACCTTGTCTTCGCAACTTGGTCACACTGGCAGGAAGACTTAGAGGAACGTACTTAGTCCGGAGTCCATAGTATGCATGATAATTTCCAGAGTCAGACCGTTGACTTGGTACGCTTCCAGGCGTTTCGCCGGCATCGTCAATGAGCCTTGCCACTCTTAGTACCACATATTGTCTTATGCTTGATTGAAGGATTGAAGGGAGGATTTTAGCTGCTGTCCAAAAAAAGGCGACTCAATCTGTCAACCCTATGAAGGCTCAATCCTCGCTCACTCTTGTTCAACACGTAGAATTAGCTCATAAGCGAAACCAGACGTACTACATTACGCAATCCCAATCATTCATTTCCTTGGATGGTTTAACCTTTATGACTCTAGACTAAGAGATTACGACAGATGGTTTCGTAACCTGACTTTCACGCTTACAAGTTGACATCTCATTTTCTCAACCATATTTGCTTAAGAACTTACATATTTTCAGTCATTGCTTTTTCTTGGGTCATTAAGTCTTGATAACCAGAGCCTAGTATTAGGCTTTTTTGATCAATTTGAGTAGGACCAGTCTTGCGTATTGACGTCAACGAATTTGCACTCTTACAAATAGAGGTACCATCACTACTATAAAAGAGATGTGACAAAATCATTCTTTATCTACCTATGTCTTCTTTTATGTCTTAGTTATATATATAATACGTAAGTTAATGCTGAATAGTTTTATTGACATTTTGTTAACTTGAGACTTCTACAAGAATGAGTTCCAGCTCTGATTTCAATCATATGATAGATGAAAGCTCAAGACTTGCGTGCCAATCCTCAAATGTGATAGTTCAACTTGATTTGAATAGGTTCACTGTAGACTTCTCTTTTTGGTTTCTGATAGTTACTTTCTGGTATCCTTGTTATTTATTTTCGTAAAATTAAAAATATTCCCTTATCAAGTCGTTTTCGTTTTGCTGATATTGCTGTTCCATGATTTTCTCCTAGTTTGCTTAGGCATGATGCAAAGTTTCCGCTATTCATCATCTTGCTAATGCAACACGAGAAGGTTTACATACTCGATTTCTCAGAAGCTTATCGCTTCGAAAACGGCAACTGTGAGCAGAAATATATAGGTAAAGTAGGATTAAAATTAACTTTTATAATCAAGGATCACCAAAGACTATGTAGAAAAATAGATATGGAAAGACAACATAGCGGAACGCATTGCATAGACAGGACACGAAATTGAGTGGAAATCGACTGAAGGACTGGCTGCATATGGTGAAAATACAAAAGACACAAAATAAAATAAGCCCTCGATATCCTGATTTAGAGAAATTTAATGAACAAGTGACTTGAAGAAGGCAGGATTAGCGAAAACTTTTCCTACTGCCTAAGCGAATCTGGAGAAAATCATGGAACAGCAATATCAGCAAAACGAAGACGACTGGATAAAGGTAATATTTTTAATTTTAGGAAATTAAATGACAAGGATACCAGAGAGTAACTATCATAAACCAAGGAGAGAAGTCTACAGTGGACCTATTCAAATCAAGTAGAACTATCACATTTGGGGATCGGCACGCAAGAGTCTTGGGCATAAAAAAGTCATAGATTTAGCATTATGGATAGAAGAGTGAGACAAACGATAATAGCCATTGATAGTTAGCTATTTGTAGATAAGTTTGTTATAAAGTAAAGGCTTTATCACGAGATTTACTCTGTGCACATGCCTCACAGTGATAAGGGAATCTGCAGAATCAAGTTAGGCTGCCAGGCCAATTGAGAATTCAGACTTTAGAGGCTCGCTCAGTGAGGCTGCTGTATACGTGCTATTCAAGGTTCGAGGCAAAGTTTAGGACATAACGCCTTAAATAGCACGGGCACGGTGGCAGCGATGGAGTGAAATCACTGAGACACAGATAAGAGATGGTTCATACAGAGCAAGAGAATAACTAATAGGACCCGAATGGAGAGCATTGCGTATTAAACCTCAGCCTTGGATCAATACTCCCGACACAGTTGAAGGAATGTGGAAACTAGCGGAGCTATATGTGGATATAGGATAGGTGAATATCCCAGGACAAGGAAGGAAACCACGGCTGTTTATCAGACAATTGGTAAAAGTATCGTCTCCATTTGTCTCTTTTGACGAGTTTCATTGTGGTGCTAAGAATGGCAAGGCTCACTTCCGACTCCGGCAAACGTCTTGGAATGTACCAAACCCATGGTCCAATTTAGGAAATGATCGTGCATACAATAGACTTCGGACAGGATGCATTCTTCTTGGTCTTCTTGTGAATATGACCAAGTTGGGAAAACAAGATCAAACAACGTCTATAAAACGAAAGGAGA